CTGTATCTTTTATAGCCCACCTCTGTTACACAGACTGGAGGTCAGCTCCTTGAACATTAGGTTCTTTGGGAAGTGATAGTTTTCCATTGATGTGAATGTGATTATATTTTCTTATAGATTTGCATCAATGCTGAATATTATTGCACTCTTAAGTACTGAAGAGACACTGCTGGCATTAGCAAATGAACTAAGATTCAACTTCATAAAGGATAGCATGACAGCTTTATAGACTTTTATTTTTGTATCTTTCCTTAGTTTTTTTTATTGATCCAGTCTCTCTTACATCAAAGATTTGTCTTCTTTCAGCCTGTTAACTTCATTGTCTATCTTGGCTTCTGTGGATATAGAAAATCTCAGATAGTAACTGTTTGAATTTAGTTGAACTAATAGATATAGAAGGTGGGTAGTACTCTTGTCAGGATGTAGGTTTTTGCAAAAGTGAATGTTACTTGTAGGACAGACTAAACAACTAGAGCTTCAATATCCGAATTACACCTGCTTCATTGTAGTCTGTTTGGGGTCTGTAGTCATTTCACATTAAATAGGCTGCGATTTAAGCCTATATGTTTTCTGATTTTCATCTCTGAAACCTGATTCAATATTGTGCTGAAGAGTATTGAGAACTGTGTGAAGGCCAGGATGCAATCCTATTTCATGTTGTCATTTAACTGGAAAGAGTCTTGAGAGGTTGCTGACTATTCTGAATCAGTTGAGCTGTAACAATACAGTTGGATAATCTAACTGAGGAATTTGGATGGGTAAACGAGCATATATTGAATTTTCAAAATACCTAATCTGCATATCAGGTTGCACATCTTTTTTGGATCAAGAAAGGTAACATGTAGCCTTTAATTTGTTTCATATAGGTTTTAGCAAGAACCATCCTTCTACAAACCGTGTGGACTGGTGCTACAAAATGATGTAATGGAATAACCTGTCACCCCCATAAGTGACTACACTATAGGTAGTAACTACCTATAAGCATCCATAAGACAATGGACTACAGGGGTCTATCTGGGATCTGTTGAGTACAACTCAGACTTTCACGAGAACTACCAACCTTCCAATAGTAGTACTCACTACTGGATTGACTTGCGATGACCTTGTGCATAATTATTACCTTTATTCTTATTGTACTGGTTTTTACAATAATCCTTTACTTATTTATCCATCGTGTTGTTCAAGTATATATTCCTATTAGCATGGAATATAACACAAAACAAGAACTTTACCAAATAACAGAAATCACATCATTTGAGAATTTTCAACAGCATCAACAACTAAAATAGATAGCACGTGCAACTTAAGGAGAAAATAATTACATAATCAAAATGCTGATGTTCCACAATACTTCAAACAAAAAGTTAGGAAGGAAACCTCATCAATACTGGAAAAAGCAATAAAAATTAGTGAGCTTGAGAAACCTATCTTCCTGAAAAATTGTTTCATGAGAAAGATTTTATATATTTCAACTGAAAGCAGAGTGTTGGATGCTCGGTCAATGAGTGCTGAATGTTTCCTTATAAGGAAATGGCTAATATTACCATTACCATACACATATCAGTTATACCATGTTTTGCTCTAAAACCATTCTGGATTTCAGGGAGGTAATCAGTAAAAACCTTTGCTTGTCAATCCAGCAATAGAGAATAGCATAATGTCTTAGTAACATGAGCAGTCATATTGTCTTTTGGTGGGTGGGGGTAGGATTATGATGACTGAATTTTGGGATAATGTGTATTGTTATCAAAAAAGGAGATCATGTAACCTTACATGGGTCTCTGTGCCTCCTAATTTCTGGAAGGATGCCATCAATGCCAGCAGATTTGCCATGTCAAGTTTTATGCTGCCAGTATTTATATCAGGTATAAGCTGTTTGGAACATAATGATGTTAAATTAAAAGGTGGCATTTATATTTCTGTATGATTTTCAAGGACATATATATATATATATATATATATATATATATTTTATTATGCTTTACAATAGTCTATCTTTCAACTTACCTAACTCTAATCACACATACGCACACATACAATACACATATATATTTGTGAACATATCAATTGGCACATCACAAACAACAAAAATACAATGCTCAATGTAAAACAAATGTTAGTGGATAATATCAAAATACTGTACAACACCCGATACAAGTAAAGCTATTTTTCTTCCAAATGCTGTGTCTCTTCAGGATGTTGCCAATAATGGCTCTCTACAATTTCTTGTCCTTTGTAGCTCTTAATGAATTTTTTCTTTTTGTTATCTCTCCTAAATTCTGTTCTGCCATCTATCTACTCATGATTGCTGGGTAGGTTATGCATCGTTTTCCTCTTGCTTTCAATATGTCATAGGAGTATCAAATTTTCCAATCCCTCTTTCCTCATTATGTGCCCTAGAAACTTCAACTCTCTCTGCTTGATGTTAAATATAAGTGTCCTTTTTGTTTCCATTGTCTCTAGAACTTCATTATTGCTCACATGTTCAGTCCATGGTACTCTCAGCATCCTTCTGTAGAACCATATTTCTGTTGCTTCAATTCTTTTCTTCATCTATGAGGAGATTGTCAAGCATTCACTGCCATACAGGAGGAGTGATATTGTATAGCAGTTCAATACTCTTTTCTTTGTTTCTAATGAAGATATTACTATACAAAATAAATGACCAACATTAGATAGAATAATTTTCACCACAAGAAATTGTATCTAGAAGTTTGTATAAAATACTTAATATACATCAAATAATAATAAAAATGCATAACATTTGATGCATACTTAACTCTTACACATGATATCGATCTGAAATATTTTAAATTTCAGTTTTCTAAAAAATAACAGGATATAACCAATGGAATCTTGCCTACAACACTGAGAGCACATGGTTCTTGATAATGAATGAGATGGTCGAAAATACTAGAACAAAAACAAAAGAACAAACATGAACTTCAGACAGTTTATTCACAATTTCAGTACTGATAGACATCATATTCAAAGATTGGAAAAATACAATAAAAAATTAAGCAAACAGACCTTATTGATAAAACTTGTTAGGCTGAATATGAGCTGCCTAAATACACCTCATGTATATCTTTTGTTTTAATATTTTATATTAATAAGATCTACTTGGATTACTTACCCACAGATTTTTATATATATATATATATATATATATATATGTATGTATATCTAGGTATGATGAAAATGAACAGAGTACAATTTCAATGTTCATAACATTTAATTTAAAAGAAGGCACAATAAAAAGTAGAGCAATATTATTTATTTTAGGATATTACACCAAAAACATGTAAACATTGTTACACAATTGCAGTTGTGTTTCAATGTATCAATTTTTACATGTTTTCAGTTTAATATCCTAAAATGTGTGTGTGTGTGTGTGTGTGTGTGTGGCATATATGTTGCATAAATTCATACATATGAGAAGGAAGGTTATCCTAAATTATAAATTTGTAGTAATGTGACCTGCCCAGGATATTTATAATGTCGTTTATTGCTCTATTTGATCTGAAAAAAATTATATAAGAAATAGAAAAATTTTGTTAGAAAGAAAGAAAAGAGTTCTGAATTGTTACACAGTATCAGTTTTCCTATATGCCAGTAAATGCTTGACAATCTCCTCACAGATGAAAAGGAAACTTGAAGCAATAGAAATGTGGTTTTACAGAAAGATGTTGACAATACCATGGACTGAACCTATGAGAAATGAGAAAGTTTTTGGAAACAAAAAGGACATTTATACTTAACATCAAGAAGAGAGAGCTGACATTCTAGGGCACATAATGAGGAAAGAGGACTTGGAAAATTTGATACTCATAAAACAGATTGAAGGCAAGAGAGACAGAGGAAAATAATGCATAAACTACCTAATGAGTTTGTGTAAGTGGGTGGTGGAGAAGAAGAGATAAAAAGAGATAACAAAGACAAAACTTATTACGAGCAACAAAGGACAGGAAATTGTGGAGAGCCATGATTGTCAATGCCCTGAAGTGACACAATACATGGAAAAAGATTTTGTTTTAGGTGTATTTCATGAAATCTAAATGTTCAGCTGTTAAACAAATTATTTTGTTATATCTGTGATTTGTTTATTTGCTGCAAGAGAAAAGAAATTGAATGACCATCCTTTAAATGGGATTCTATGATTTTATTTCATATTCTATTTATTTATTAGCAGTTTTTAAGATATATTGACCTCAATGTATTTGCATATGGTCTATCCATGATAGGGAGCACTTTGACCCATAAATACAGCATATCTTAAAAGTATAGTTTTATCATTATATGTGTGTGTGTGTGTGTGTGTGTGTGTGTGTGTGTGTGTGTGTGTGTGTGTGTGTAATAATAATAGCTGGCCACTCGTATTCGAGGATACCTAGGGCAGCTAGCCAATACCTATTGCCGACGCACACTCAGGCACACTTGTGTCTGCTCAACACCCACAAAGCCCACCTGTGATTTATACTGCAACTATGCTGAGAAGACCTTAGTTACAGTTTCTTGGAGAGAGTGTGTCAACAAAGTGTGATCAACAATTTGAATAAGTCCAGCATGCTCAAGCCACGATGACTTGTGACTTTGTGCTAGCACAACTATCAAAGACCCTCAAGAGTTCCATCTACCCAATTTCACTCACAAGACTTGGGTCAACTTGTGGTGTGGTTTTCAGGCACTTTCCAAAGATGCCCCATTCTGATAACATCAAGAAGTCTCCTTCCTGATAAATTGACCAGATTTGAACCCGGGTCAGAAAGCAAATGCCAGAAAATATTTTTAGATTGTAAGAATTTTTTTTTGAGATAATAATGGTTTAGTGATACAAATTTCACTAATTAACCCATAGATGGGTGGAAAAGAGGTGGATTTATACCTTTCACAATGGTATTTGCACATAAGTGAATGTAACAAACCCAACAGGAATGGAAACTTGGCTCTCTGATTAGTAATTGCAAGTCATTATCCATGACACTACCTGCACATCCAAGCTTACAGCATCTGGTATTTCCAAGTAGTCACCCATCTTGGTACTGACCAGGCTCAATGATGCTTAACTTTAGTGATTGTATAGGAACAGTGTTTCAGTGTGATTTGGCCATAAGTTGACAAAGAACGGATTAAGAAATAAATTCTAATGTTTGGTGATGATTTTTTTCTCAAAAGACTGACTGCCCTGAATTCTCCCTTTGCACACACTATCTTACATTGCTCTAATGGCTTTTTAATTCCTATTAGTTAATCAGAATTTAGAATATTCAACATGCAACATGCACTGATTTGTTTCTACTTGGGTGAAGCAGAGAAAGAATTCACATCAATTGGAGAAAGACTGGAGTTTTATATTTCTTGTAATTCTTTTTGAAAAATCTATTTTCTGTTATCTTAACATGTTCATTCAATTGCAATGAAATCACCTACTGCATAAAATGTAATGAACTAACAGCATCAGATATTTATTTTATTTTTACATTTTTGAAACTGTTGATAGAGCATGGGAAAATTTAGAATATCATTGTTTTTGCTTGTCATGGAAGTTCAATGAATTCACTCTTCCCATGTATCATCCACGTGAACAAGATGATACAAGAAGCCAATCCAGTGAACATACATGTGTGGTGTGTATGTATACATATGTGGAATTTTTAGCAAATTTTAAGATGTGTGTGTGTGTGTGTGTGTGTGTGTGCATGTTTTTATATATATATATATATATATGGCCGCATAGAACATTTGCTTTCTGACCCGGGTTCAAATCTGGTCGATTTAATAAAAAAATAAAATTAGTTAATAAAGTTAATAAGGATTTAAAAAATTAAACATGAAACTTACTTTTTAGATCTGTTTGAAAATATGTACTAATATATATTCTATATATATATATATATATATATATATAATTCTATTTAAAATTGTTACATAACATAAAAGAGTATTAGATTATAATTGTATTTTAGTATAATTTGAATAATTTGTGGATCAATTTTTATATCTCTTATTTTAGCAAGTACACAAAATATTGTGTGCAGAAATGCTTAAATACACAGGCGGTATTACCTCAAAATTCAAGGAAAATTTGATGGTAAAATTCTACAAACTTTTGGAGGGCATCTTATCGGTCTCTGTATCTAGGTAGCAAATGTTCATTTAAACAAGTTTTGTTAAAAACAACACATAATACAGAATCATAAAAATTACAATTATATATAAAAAAAAAGCTTATTGCGAATAACACAGTAACACTCAGCAAAACAAACTGTAAACAAAGATTACAAATTTTAAAAGCTTCTCATAATTAGTGAAACCAACTAATGACAAAATCATCTGTGATTCTGAAATAGGCATTCTAAAATGTGTTTTTCAAAATTCACATTATGTCATGCTCACATGGTATGACAAAGTTTTAAAACTAAAAAAAAATAACATCATGCTAACATGGCAGAAACAAACATTGAAAACTAAAAATCATACGAAAGATACATATCAGTTGTAATTTTAAATTTATCTAATTTCTTTCTTTCTTGATAATAAATGAAGTGAATTTAATACCCAATCACAAAAAAATCCAGTAAACTTCAGAATAAGACCAAAATCAGTGTTTCAATCTAATGTCAAATCAATGCCTACATTTGATTCAACCATCTGCATAAGAGAAACAAATTCCAACAATAACCTTACAACAGACCTACCTAGGGACATTACTACCATTACTCTTCCTCATTAAGAAGCCATACATGTGCCCTTGGTTTAAAGAATTAGCTGCACTTCATCTTAAAACTTCACTTGCCAGGCTTGAAGGCTATGTTTCTGCCACAGATCTGGATGGGATGTGATATAGAATAATAGAAAACCTCAAGAAGTCAAGCCATTAATTTTTATATATATATATATATATATATATATATATATATATAGTATGTGTGTGTAGAAAGAGAACTGAGATAGAAATCAATTTCATTTCTTTAAGAAAAGTAACAACTGATTTTTGAGGGAAATAGTAAAAGAAAACAAGACTATTGTATAATTCATTTTGTGTCAGTTTAATAAATCAAAGAAAGAAATATTTTACAGGGTTCTTTCTTTCCTAAACATTGGTGGAAAGTCAAGTTTGAATTCCAGTCAGGTTCATTATATTCACTTACAAGAAAATACAGTTGTCCCCATTTTTGCAGTGTATATTTACCAAAAAAATATATATATATATATATATATATATATATATATATATATATATGTGTGTGTGTGTAAAATTCAGATATAAATAAAACATATCTTTTTGAGCATTCCTAAATTTAAAAATATTGAAAAACTACTGATATTTTTACTTCTGTTTATAAATAAATCAAATAAGATATTTGCGCTTGCCTTCATAAAGTCCATTAGAGGACAAAATACATTGGTAAAGAAAAATTTCCTATTTGTCATTATATATATGATTTTATTTTATACATCTATATTTATGAGATGTTTAGCGAAGTGAAAATGCAACCTAATAATTTAAAATATACATATATGTAACTTGTGCATATATATATAAGCTATGTACAAATCTAATTGATTTATTAAGATATTTATAACCACAGTATTTATAATTAGCAAGGTTTTTCCCTTAAATTTTAGATTTTTTTTCAGTTGCTTTAAGGATGCTCTCACAGAGCTAAATGCTGGCAACAGAATAAAAATATTAAATATCCAACTGATTTTCACAAATTATAACTTACATACTTTTTTCAGATATTTCATACCAGTTACTTTATCATATATAGATTGTTTTAAATTTGCTTTATTTTTAGGGGAAGTGTGGTCTATATTGGAGATAAAATATTTATAGGCAGTATGGTCATAGGTCTGAAGATTGCATTGAAGTGTGAAGCCAACATTTACCATGCAGTGTTGATTCCTATGTCTACACAGACTCTCTCTCTCTCTCTATATATATATATATATATATAGAGAGAGAGAGAGATACAGACATTTTATTGTGAATGCAGTGCAATGTTCTCTGCACTATATATGTAGGTGTATGAATATTGTGTGTAACTATATATCACAGCATAGATATTTATTAAATGTAAATATTGATCAAACAATAATAAAAGTTGATAAATATTATAAAGATAGCTTTATATGTAAATAGTTATGCATATCAAATATAATAAATAGAAATATATTATGATAGAAGGGCTAAAATACAGACTGCTTATTAAATAAATATTTTGGCAAATATTACATTTAACAGTAGAGAAAATCTATATGGACATCATCATATCCTACTGGCCTCACTCTAAAATTACACAAAACTACTTATAGAGTAAATTAGCTATTGTTTTCTACAGACACAAACTAAAAACTCTTCATTAACAACTATTTGTATCAATCTGCCTGTAAATCTATTGATTACTTTATCTACCTAAGGGTGTCTGGTGGAGAACAATGGGTAGCAAGCTAAGCTTGTTAACCTCTGACAGTAAATTTTTTCCTCAGTAGTGAATCTACTACTTTATCCTTATACTAGACTGGGTTAAACTTGATATCTATCTATCAATGTCAAACTAAACTTGACCTAACATAGAAACACTGGAATGTAAATAAACTGACTAATCTTTGTTGACAGATATGAAATAAAAAAGTTAAATCATTATCATGCTCTTTCTTCGTATGTGCATATATGAATACATTTTTAATAGTCACCCAGAAGGCAGGCAGGAGGGGAAAGATTAATATATATATATATATATATTGGGGTATTGAAAAGTTCTGGGCCTAACCAAGAAGCCCTTCCTCACCAAAACAAATCTGATGCTTGTTCATTTCGTTAGAATTTTCAGTATGCCTTTGTACATAGATATATATTCTAGTTTTTTTTTTGTTTTTTTTAATGATTTTACAGGTACGTAATGTACTGACCAAATATAGTGTCATAGGATTGTATGATACTTAACTACTTGTTTGTGAAATTAAAATTTTTGCCCTTTAAATGAACTTGAGCACTGACCACTGGATGCTGAAGTAAACTTGATACCTTTAAATAAACAGGATGCCCATTTGATAGATAGGAAGGTTTTGAGTCTGAGATCAGCAGATGCAGTGGTTTCAATATTTACAAAATATAGATACTGTAGATTTTACAGGTACTGAATGTACCGAATGCTAGAAAGGAAGGAAATTCATTTTGCATACGTCTTCTAAAAGGAGAAAGGCCTGATGCCTTGAAATTTAGTCTTCCAAATCTTGACATTTAGGTAGGCTTGAACATTAATTACATGTGCCAAAAACAAACAACTATTTCAACCATTAAACAGATCCATAACAAGATAGATATGTATATCAATTGGTAAATATAAAACAAACTGAGATAGATGAGAAAAAACTGATATACACAAATACTTGTACAAATATAGTTGATGAGGTTGATAAAAAGGGTTGTTTTAATGAATATATTTTTCCAGCATGATTAGTATAGAAACTTGCACAAGAAGAGAGGAATAAATAAAATGAATTGCTTATCAACAAGAACATGGAAACTAATGGAAATATGGATAAAGCCAAAGAGCAAGGGGTAAGTATAAATTTTATTTAAAAGAAAAGAGAACCAATAAACAATAAAATCAGTTTCTTAGCTCAAGACATACCTATTAAATATACAGACACAGAGATTCACAAAAATAGATGGATTTGTAGATATGTAACATTATTCATGATAGGCTGGTAAGAGTAGATTAGAAATGTAAATAGATTGGTCAACTGGTCAATACTATATGAATACAAATATGTAGCAAAAGGTATAAATAATCTATTTATCAGTGGTGCTGAAAAATTATCAGCCCAAACAAAAAAGGATTTCCATAAAAATTCTAATGTTTGGTTATTAAACCAGATTTTGGGAAGTGGGCCAGATTGAGAATTTTTCAGCACTTCCTTGTATGTGTGCATCTATGTTTCTGTCTATCCATATATGTAAACATACACACACACATGGGTTTTTATATGTATGTGCAAAAAATAAAAAATAATTGTGATATAAAGGTCAACTTAAAAACAAAATAATAAAATTAAAAAAAGTAAGTACGAAAATTTAAAAGAAAACATATCTCTATTTAT